AAAGCTGCCCCACGAGCGAGCCAACAGGAGCGCTGACAGCCTCGGCACTCAGACTAGCTCTCCAAAAGCAAATAGCTGGAAGCCAGCGCCAGAGAGCTACTCAGTTGACATCTGCTGCTCCATGTCTATCTCGGGGCCACTTTTATTCATTTCTGTTTCTCATACAACTCAGTAGAAGCCATGTGTTAACTAAATCGTCTTCTCCTGATAATTCTATATACTTGGACATAGCCAATGACTTATTTACAATTTCGAGAAATGGTGACTTAATACATAAAATATACCCGACTTTCTACATAGAAATCAAGGCTATCAGTAACCCTGGAAGCCCATGTGCTATCATCAAAAGTCTTCATTGTGATATTTTTATTTAATTAGTTAAGGATTAATGTTTTCTACAACTGCATACTTACTTTGGACCCGTAATCCACCACAATGTAGCATCAAAAAAAGTGGTCAGTATTTTTACCTTTCTAAATCTCAGTTTCTTCATGTGCAAAATTAGGACAATAATATTTATATCACCCAGCTAGTGTGAAAACTAAATATGATATTCTATAAAGCACCCGATTCACTAACTAGAATATTGGCAATACTCTATAATTTTAATTTGCATCAGATCCCCTCAGTCATGACTTACCTAAATATCACTCTCATGGTAATTGTGTCTAGTTCTATTTTAAGGATCTACTCTGCCGGGTGGTGGTGGTGCACAACTTTAATCCCAGCACTTGGGAGGCAGAGCCAGGTGGATCTCTGTGAGTTCGAGGCTAGCCTGGTCTACAGTAAGAAATCCAGAACAGGCACCAAAACTACACATAGAAACCCTATCTCAAAAAAAAAAAAAAAAAAAAAAAAAAAAAAACCAGAACCTACTCCTTAGCCAGACAGTGGTGGCACATTCCTTTAATACCAGCACTTGGGAGGCAGAGGCAGGCAGCCCTTTGAGTTCAAGGGTAGCCTGGTCTAAAACGTGAGTTCCTAGACAGCTAGGGCTATACAGAGAAAGCCTGACTAGAAAAACAACAACAGAATAAGAAGAGGAGCAGGAGAAGGAGGAGGAGGAGGAGGAGGAGGAGGAGGAGGAGGAGGAGGAGGAGGAGGAGGAGGAGGAGGAGGAGGAGGAGGAGAAGGAGGGAGAAGACGAAGACGAAAAAGAACCTTGCCCTTATCTACTGAACTAGCTCAATATGCACTGATCCAACCCTGCTACTTTCCACAAACAATCTCCTTCAATTATAATACCTTACTCACTGGACATCCTGAGCAACTCTTTCACTAAAAATTGCTGTTCCCCTCTGTACCCGAGTCCTACCTGCCCACTAAACACAAACAACTGTTTCTTTTCTACACAGCCAATTCACATAAGATTTCTCATAGCCTTATAAATATACAAAACAACTCCCCTCATTATTAAACCACTCATTCAGTGTATTTGCTTATCTGCATTAATATTTGGGTTGATTCTGAATGTCACAATAAGGACATGATGACGCACACATGCCATCTCAGTACACTGAGGCAAGGGGATTGCTATGAGTTGGAGACCATCCTAGATTACACAATGTGTTATAGGTTAGACTGAGCTACAGAGTGAGGCCTTGCCTCAAAAACAAAACCAAACCCACTGAAATGAGTGAGGATAGGGAGTTTCGGGGGTTAGGGAATGCTCAACATATTATATACATATATGTATATAAATATATGTATGTGTATAAAGTTTAAAATAACTAACTGAAGTGTCTCATCATAAATAATGCATTTGATCATCTTTTGTTTCAAAGTATTAGAGGAAATCCTATGTAAACACACAGAAATAAATAATTTCTCCTATGACCATCCTTAGAAACCACTGAGTAGGAACACTGACCAGAAGATTCCTATTACATTGGACCAAAGCACTAATCCTCTCACGACTTACTTTAGATCTTCTCAGAAGGACATAAATTCTCTTTATTTTTACTTCAATAGTATGTATTTTAAAGCAGTCCTTTGACATTTGGAATGAGTTGTAGAGTGAGTGATATTAGTATAATATGGTAAACCTAGAAAACAGGCAGAAATTATTTTGTGGAGAGAGTGGGAAGTAATAGAGAACCAATGGTTTCTTTCTGAAACTTAACTTCAAGAATCCCAAGCAAAGCCCCCCACCCCGGCCTACAGTGATATCTGGCTTCTTGTTTATGGAAGAGCCCTGTAAGAGTCAAAAACCAGCCGGGCGGTGGTGGCGCACGCCTTTAATCCCAGCACTCGGGAGGCAGAGCCAGGCGGATCTCTGTGAGTTCGAGGCCAGCCTGGACTACCAAGTGAGTTCCAGGAAAGGCGCAAAGCTACACAGAGAAACCCTGTCTCGAAAAACCAAAAAAAGAAAAAAAAAAAAAGAGTCAAAAACCAAATGCATAAGAGGAGAGGGGTTGTAAAATTCAGACTAAGTAAGAAATCAGAAGAAGATACAGCAAAGGCAAACGTGAGCCCTTGACATTTCTATGGAACATTTTCCAACTGTACATGGTGTGGAATCAAAAAACTAGTAGTGTGTGTGTGTGTGTGTGTGTGTGTGTGTGTGTGTGTGTGTGCGCGTGCGCACGTGCGTGCATGCATGTGCGTGTGCGTAGACAAGGTTGACCTGGAACTTACAGAGATATTCCTGCCTCTGCCTCCCAAGTGCTGGGATTAAAAGTCTGTGCCACCACTGCCTGGCTGACAGCATCAATTTTAGTGTAAAACAAGAACAGAGAATGCTGAACAGAAGACATTTCTGACATGGTCAGAGGTTTGTTCTTTCAAACCAGATTACAAAGCTGTTTGGTGCAGTGAGTAGCTGCATACTCCACAGAAATACTTTTTTTAATGACAGCCATTTACTGTGGTTACAATCCAGGGTTTGCCTCTCTTAGAAATGGAACCCATAATTTTTGGATGGGCACATAGCTGCTTAGAATAAACAATACATTTCCCAATTTCTACCACAGCTAGGTAAGCTTGTAGAACTGAAAGCAGACCAATAGGATGTCATAAAACCTTAATGAAATGGGGCATGTCTTTTAATCAGATTGGAACTCTATAATCCACTCAAGACAGGCAGCTGGAGGCTGCTAATGGAGGGTGATAGGCAAAATGGAGAAGTCCTAGTCCTCTGACCATGTCCTGACCTCACCATCTATCTTCAGATTTTATCACCTGACTGAGAAGCAATCTATCCTGTTGTCTAATACTAGTATGATATTGAATTCCCTGCTACATTCAACCAAGTCTAACTAGGCTTAATATAACTACCTTGATCATTTCTGCTATTTTCCTTAGTTCTTTAATTAAAGTATTATATTATAAATTTATTTCTTTATAACACACAGAAACATTTTTAAATGCTGAAGCAATCTTCACGTTTGTTTGAAAATTCAGTTTTAAATCTTATAAGAGGCATGGTAAAATTATTCCTACAAACATAATTACTCCCATGGCTTTTTATGCCATGGAATTTAAATGAAATATCAGATGTTTATTTTACACTTGCTGAACAAAGTGATCTACCCAAATTGAATTGAAGATAGTAGTTATAGTTGTGAAGTCTTAAATTAAGGCCATTTAGCACAGCAGAAGTTTTAGCAAACATACAAGGTAACAGTCACATTCCACAGAGAAAACAGCTTTACCTATCTATCCATTTATCTGTCTACCTAGTTATCTGTTGGCCTATTTATCTACCTACCATATATCTACTTGTCTATTATCAATAAATTATCTGTCATCTATCCATTTTTCTATTTAATCCAGACAAGTACTGAGTGAGCATAAACTATAATAGAGTTGTGTGGTATTCACTTTCAAATATTTTCATAAGGTTAAAACTTCTCTATTTTACTAATAGCTTATTCTTTTTCAACATAACTCAGAATTTTCACAATGCTCTAAGAAATCTAATTCTATAATAAAATAATTATCTAATTTATTATTTTTAATTATTAAATAAATATTTAATTGAATTTAGTTTTTACTTGAATAATTCTTTGTTACAGCTAAAAGAACATTTAAAAGTTCTTCCATTTAAAGCCTCCTCTTCATAAAAGAGAAATGACATGAGCAGACCACTGATGTTTGTTTTTTGTTTTTTGTTTTCTGAGACAGGGTATGTCTGTGTAGCCCTGGCATTTCTGCAACTCACTCTGTAGATGTGACTGGCCTTGAACTCAGAGATCCACCTGTCTATGCCTCTCAAGCGCTTGGATTAAAGGCGTGCATCACCACAATCGGGCTAAGTAAATGATTTTAAATTATCTTTCCTGTAATAATAGCTTTATTCATTCACTGATTCATTTATTCCTTCGTATATTCACTAAATTACTATTTCAAGTGTATTATATGTGAAAGCTGAGGCAGAGTGAGAAGGAGCCTCAGCAAAGAATGAATACAGTCCCTGGTTGCCATGTATTTTCACTTGTTAGGATAGTAATATTATATAATGTGTATCTAACTAAACATGGAATGACAAATATAGACACTGTAGCCATTCCTACAGACAAAAAAGAAAATCACAATAAATTGAGTTAGGTAGTACCTGAAGACTTGATAAAGAAAGGTACATCTGGGCCAAGTTTAAAAACCTGAGCAAGAGTGGAGAAATCAAATAGGCATTCTAGACAAAGGACTAGCTTTCCTGTACACTTTCAGAGTTAGTTTGTCTATTTAAGGCACCCTGATTACTTCTTAGCTTACATTTGTACATAAGCAAGTGAAATACCATTATTTCCTATACATCAGAGATGAGATGGCGAACTTGAAATGCTTTAGAAAGATCAAGGCCATGCTTCATGCTGCACTACACATGATAGTTATGAAAGTTTAGACCAGTGCTTCTCAACCTTCCTAATGCTGTGACCCTTTCATAAAGTTCCTCGTGTTGTGGTGGTCCCCTAACCATACAATGATTTCATTAGTACCTCATAAATGTAATTTAGCTAGCGTTGTGAATCATAATGTAAATATCTATGCTTTCCCATGGGTCCCTGGTGACCCCTGTGAAAGGGTCATTCAACCCCCACAGGGGGGTCTCCAGACCCACAGGTTGAGAACCACTGGTTTAGATGCATCTCCCGTGAAGGACCTCAGCTGCAGGTTTGTGCTAGCACTCTGCCCCTGGAGCAAAGAACTGAAGATGGCTCAGCATCCCAGAGAGCTCTCAGACTATCGGAAAGTAACTCCCTGACAGAAGTGATGTCAGCAACAAGAAAAAACAGCAGGGTTTCCACTGGAAACAGAGACCCAGACAAACGCACAGGCAGGACGACAAGGCTTCATTTCCTTCACGTGGCAGTGAATTAACCATGCAAATGACAAAAGTGATGGCATCCGCATGGGTTTGACGAGGCGATCACCTCTTACAGGTAAAATACATGAAAGTGGGCCCCCCTTTTCTTATATTCGCGGTGAATTATGAACGTCAGTAACAGAGCAATATCTAGGAGTAACTATTTTATCAATAAGTAATTAAGCATTCCATCAATAAGTGTACTGACTATTATACATGCATTATGCAGAATTTTATTCACGACTTTTGCGAGTATGGGCAAAAATACAGCTTGCAAGATAATGCACAGTCTCTCGTAATTCTATGCCTACTTATATATGCTTATTCATCCAAGAGTAACCATCTCACAAAGTTCACGGTGTACCTGAAATGAAATTTGTCTTTGAGCTCTCATAAGTCTGCAGCGACCTCCAGCTACTAACCTTGCTGTCTTCTCTCTCCTTGGCTGTTCTCTGCAGGGCTTTCCTCTCTCCAGACTCACAGGTTGATTTTAATGTGAGCTGACAAGAAAGCGTTGAGCACCCCGGTGCAGCAAACGCCAAAGGTCTTGAAAGACAGTGCCGGGAGAGGCTGATGCCAAGATTCGGTATCGGGAGAGCAGTATGAACAGGCTTTGACCCAACAGCTGGCTGTCTCAGTTTTGAGGCAACCCCGAGGACAGGCATGGCTTCTATAAAAGTATCTTTCAGTTGCCAAAGAAAATGCTCCTAACCTCAGTCTGGTAGACTCCAGTTTTTAGTATTTCCAGAAAAAAAAAATACTTTAAACAAAACTAGCAGTCATCTGGATGTAAAAGAGAGACAGAGAGAGACAGAGAGACAGACAGAGAGAGAGGGAGAGACAGAGAGAAGAGAGAGAGGGAGAGAGGAAGAGAGAGAGGGAGAGGGAGGAAGGGAGGGAGGGAAAGAGACAGAGAAGAGACAGAAATAACTTTCAAACTTTCAGGAAGAGAAAATTTTGCATTACCTGAGTATTACTGTTGCTAGTTCAGCTTCTCACATTCTCTCTCTCTCTCTCTCTCTCTCTCTCTCTCTCTCTCTCTCTCTCTCTCTCTCTCCCCTCCCTCCCTCCCTCCCTCCCTCCCTCCCTCTCTCTCTCTCTCTCTCTCCTTTTTCAGTAAATAGTGTCTGCAAAATAAATGCTACAAAGCCCTTCCTCTAGGATTACAGAGTTCCTAGCTTCGTTTTCTTCTCACTACAGCAGCCGAGTTTGATCTTTTTCAGAGGAGAGAGGTCAGGGAGCTGGGGGGCGGGGGGTGCGGTATGGGACAGGATGACAAAGGAAGATCCCTTCAGTCTAGTTTCAGTACAATTGTCAAAGAAGCCAAAAGACCACAATAGCTAGGAGTTCTTCCTGACTTCAGAAATAACCAGCAAAAAAGGAAAGAGAGAAAAAAAAAAAAAAGAGTAGGTCAACAGCCAAAACAAACAGCTGTTGGAAGAACTTTTAGCCCGGAAACAATTTCAGCAATGAAGCTGTTTGTCTAATTTCCAGCTATTATTCACTCCTGACAGCCAGGAGCCACTGGTGTGTTCATTCTGCTTCGTCCCATGAAATCAGGCTAAACTGGACTCACAGGACAGCCTGCTCAGGCAGCGGAAGCCTTCCGCAGACCCTGCCTGCTTATGTTACAAACTGCAGCAAACACCGGAAGCCAGGCGCAGGGTGCACCGTGATTTCTAAATGCAGTGATGGTATTCCCATTCGCAGGACATCACTGTCCCCCAAGCAGCTACAGGGCTAAGCACATTGGGTGTTAGCGGAAGTACCCCCTGGAATCCCATGCAGTACACACTTACTGTCTACACTTTGTACAGCTGTGGCAGAATACAGACTAGAGACTCAAATATCAAAATTAGTATGATAGAAGCCAGCTTGCAGAAAAATGGAGATCCTTCCCTACCTGGGGCTGTGGGACAAAAGCAAATCCAAACAGGTTGCTGTTCTTCTGTAAATGTCCTCTCAATGGCTTCTTTTCTCAGCTCACTAGACCACTTGACATCCTTTCTTAATAAGCAACCCTATTTCCATATCTAAAAATGTGTCTCTGATACAGTTCTTTGCCCTGGGACAGACGAGCTTGGAATCAGGTGCCTTTCAAACCAGATTCTCCCCATTTCCTTAATCTCAAGCATGACCTCCCCAACACTGTAATTTCTCACTCTTTCTCTAACTTCTACCTTAAAAGAATTTTTTTTTCTCCATCTCCTCTTTTGTGTGGCTGCTGGGATTTTCAGCTTGCCTGCCCAATTGATTCACCCTCCAACTCTAATAAAACTGTCTTCGAGCTTCCTCTGACTCTGCTTCTATTGGTGAGACGAAGAATTCAAAAGCAGGAACGCCAATTTCCATGATAACAGAAAGGAGAATTTTGATTCTGATCTCAGTGATGAAACCAGTCAGGAAGACAGAGAGTAGAGGAGTTCACACCTTGAAAGTTTAAAACCTATCTGAAGAGTGATTTAAACAATAGCTTTCCAAGCGTTAGCCCCACTTCAAGTTTCATGTTTCTAAACAGTTTCTAAATCTCTACTCAATGAATAATACGGATCCAATTTGTAAAATTGCTCTATTATAATCATATCAGATCCCATGTTGGCTAAATATATCCAAGGAGTAGTGTTAAGAAAACAACATGTAATATGTAGGCATCATTGTCCTGAAATACATGTGTACACAGAAAACTTCCCATTAGTCAGGAAAAAAAAATAGCATGTATGTGTATGATGGTATTGCGATTTTAGTAGTAGTTTCTACCAATAAGACAAACTTTATTTTGTATCTCTCATGTCCCTTGTTTGTATCTCTTCTTATTAATTAAATTTGTTGACAATTTCATACATGTTTATAATACATTCTGTTTGGTCCCATTCTCCAGTTCCTTTTCTGGATCACCACCATCACGCCTTCTCCCTTTCCCTACAAGTTACCCCATTCACATCTTTCTGGGTTTTTTGTTTGTTTGTTTCTACTGAGTTTAATCAAGGCCTTCGGTGCTCACTAATTGGTACTGAAAGCAATGACTTCACCTCTCCCAGAATCTACCAGCAGCCAATAGTTGAAGAGTAAAAGGTAAGACATCCCCAGTCTCTTCTCAGTCCATGTCTAACTTTTAAAGCATCTAACTTGTTCAGACTCAGTACAGGCGAATCAGCTGCTATGATTTCATGATTGCAAAGTTTGTGCTATGCCTAGAAGATAGTATTTTGCGGCCCTTCTCTAGCTTTTGCCTCTTACAATCTTTCTGTTCTCTCTTCCATCAGGTCCCTTTGGCCTTTGAACAGTAATGTCCATGTCTTACTTAGGGATGAGGTCTCAACTCTCTCTTATTTTTAGTATTTTGGTAGCCATAAGTTTCTGGAGTCATCACTATTCACTGCAAAGAGACACATTTTTTTTTATTCAGATAGAGAGTAGCATTTATCTATGGGTATAAATACAAACATTTAGAAGGCAGTTTTTATACTATTTCAATTTAGCAAAATGATAAATAAATAAAAACTATAGAAGGTTTACTTTTAGGTCCCACGATCTCACCAGCCTTGGGTTGAAAAGTATAGTCACTGTTAACCAACTCTATCCAACAACGTCTACCACCAAGAACCATAACCAACTCTATCTAAGAATACCTACCACCAAGAACCAATCAAGAAAAAAATTAACTTTTACAAAATCTAATATGGGTCTGGATATATCATCTCATTCCATTCCAATGAATGTCACTGTTTGAGAACTAAAAGAAAAAAGTCATTCAGTTCCAGTTGTTTGGGCACATGCAGGTAAACTCAGCACTTCAGAGGTGGTAACAGAAGGATTATTTTAATGTCAGTCTCAGCTATATACAATGGAAAGGCCAGTTTGGGTTACATAAGATCTTGTCTTCAAATACTCCAAACTAAAAACATCCTCAAGAAGTTAGTAAACTAACCATTGTTGTTTGGAGATATCTCAGGAGAAATGGAACACAGAAAAGTATTGCACTCATGCTATATTAGAAGAGAAAGGTATCCAAGATTTATCTAAGCTGTAGTTTTGAAGCAAGGAAAAGGAAGGTCTAGTGCATGGCTAAAAACAGGGTCAGAAGACATAGTAATGAAGTAGTTAGCTGATTTTTGCAATGAACACAATGCTTGAGAGAACAGGAAACTGTCTACATGTTCTCTATGGCACACATATACTATGCTACTGATGTAGTCAATCGATTGAATAGAATTCGTCAAATTCAGAAGGCCTCTTAGCTATAAACAGTAATGAAAAGCAAATGCAGTAAGATTTAGAACCATATTGGATATGGATAGCCTCATGGAGATGTGTCTTCCTCCTGCCAAGTCAAAAGCACACACATATGGAGTTGAGTTGACTATTTTTATTAAAACAAAATCACTTGGATAATTTGGCTGATAAATTCCAGGGCTCCAATACCATAACACAGAAGATTTATAGATATAAAACATATCAATAAAGTATCTTTGAAAAATATACTTGAAAGAAACACTGTATATATATGTGTGTGTGTGTGTGTGTGTGTGTGTGTGTGTGTGTGTATTCATACACAACACAAACACACAAGTACATGGTTATGAAAGTCAAGAAAAATATCTCGAAAACCACTAAAACAGTTTGGTCTTGAGAAATGAGGTCAAGTATCTTTAGATGTAAAATAAAATCCTCGCTGTTTTCTAAAGGAATTCATTTTGACACTGTCCCCTTGTCAATTTGATTATTTTTAGCTATTATACTCATCAAATATACCAAAACAAAACAGGTAACTTACTATGCATAACATTTAAAATTTAACAATGGAATGTTATTTTCAGTGGCAGTTATTGTGATATAGTTGCGGTACAAAATGGATTCCTCATCTACCAGATTTAAAAATTTACTGAAAAATTACCATAAAAAAAAGTTTGCCCAAGATAGGATTTGGTGTTTTAAAGTAATAATAAACTGAAAAATCTTTCTAATTTCATTCGTTTAAAGATGATTTAGAGAAAAGTCACCTCATGAACGTACAGATCCAAAACAGCAGGATCTCCAAGACACAGGATAACAGGATAACCAAGAGCAGCCCCATTAAGGGCCCATTATCAATGGTGTAGGGAAGCCAGAGGACTCCAGCCAGACCAATGGCCGCAAGGACTCCTGGGACTGAACACTTTCAAGTAAAGATGACTGGACTAAAGGTACACTGTGTGACTCAACGGGCCACACTAGAGCTCCCATAAGACCTTGTCTTCAAATACTCCAAACTAAAAAATCCTCAAGAAGTTAGTAAACTAACGATTGTTGTTTGGAGATACCTCAGGAGAAATGGAACACAGAAAAGTATTGCACTCATGCTATATTAGAAGAGAAAGATATCCAAGACTTATCTAAGCTGTAGTTTTGAAAAATGGTGGTTTTTGTGATGACTGAGTAAATAAATGAAAGATATATTTTATCTGAAAGTTTGTATTACACTGTGAGGGTAAACTAAAACAAAACAACAACAACAACAAAAAACCCAGTGGTTTAGACACCGTCCATTGCCAAATACACAATACACAGCTAAATATTCAGTCAGCAATCACTTTAAAAAATTGATATGGGTGCCAACAAGATGCCTGAGTGGCTAAAAGCATTTGCTTTCAAACCTGTATTAGATTCCCTGGACCCAACAGACAGATGGAAAGAACTGACTCCATCAAGGTATCCTCTGACCTCTGAGAATACACTGTGACATGTGAGTATGCATGTGTTTGTGTGTGTGTATGTATGTGTGTATATAGTATTGATGGGTGCACCCAATCATGCACACAGAAAATAAGTTGATAAAATATAACAAACATTAAAAAATATCATTAATATTTCAAAACATGCAAGTTCTAAATGTATATGCAGGTACATTTACATATGTAAATATAAATAAGTCTAAGTAGATACTTCAGTTTTCCTTTACCTTCTATATTTCTCTTTCTAATGTTGGTGTGTGTGTGTGTGTGTGTGTGTGTGTGTGTGTGTGTGTGTGTGTGTATTTCCTTTTTCTTTTGGGTGCTACAGAACTCAATCCAGGACATTGCAGAAGGCACGAAAGTTTCCTATCATCTACCCAAGTCTCCAGCATACCAATATTTAATTTGTGTACTGACCTTGCTATCCATGTTCCTTGGCCAGATAGCTTTCTGACCAGAGGTGTGATTCCATCACGCTATCTCTCTGCTTATATACAATCCAAACAAAGACTTTCTTCTTGGGATTTCACTATGAACAAATATCTGTGACAGCAACCTAAGCCAATGCCTAATTGTCTTTGATGTTTCTTTTGCTTGTTGGTTTCATGAACCCACATTCATGTTGTCCTAAAACATCTCTTTTTTTTGCCTTAGATACTTTTGTAATGAGAAAAATGACCAAAAATGAAAACCGAGTTTTAAAAGCACAGTAGGTTTTTGTTTTTTATTTGTTTGTTTTTCTGCAGCTATGATGCTGCATAAAGGAAATGATCATTATTGATAATATAATGTTCTAATTTTTAACATTGTTGAACTTATATTCTTTCTCCAATGTTTCTACCAAAATATTGTAAGATTTAGAGGAAGGACCACATATAGGTATAATATTTACAACTATAGATTGTAAACTTTAGATGCTAAGATCTCATTTTACTTTTTTATAAACTAAACACATTTTTAATGAATTTTGGAAATTACACAAAATTGAAAAGAAACAAGAAATTAAGTAATATAATATTCTATTAAGTGGAAAACCTCTAGTAAAAGACAAATCTTCCTCTCTTGTGATTGTCAGTTTAAAATGTAAGGAAAGCCTACAATTTCTATTTGACTGATATATTTATATTATAGTTATTTTAATGCTAATCTCAGATATAAATAAAAATGATTGTGAGCAAAATAATTGCCAAAAATCTTATATATGTCCTAATGATATTATAACAATTCCCATAAATATCTATTCCAGCCATGAGCTGGTTTTGCCAGCTTTTTCAACAGCAACCAGAAGTTTGAAATCATCCACTTCAAATCTCACTGACACTTCCTTAGACACTAGAAAATTGGTTTAAGGAAAGTGGACAACAAGTATACATCCCCCCAAAATGTGGGATCAAGTGCATTAGAGTCACTGAAACAGACTGAGCTGAAACCTCTGAGCAGTGGGTTAGGACACATATCACTTCTAAAACTGTAACAAATTATATGTCATCACAGAATTACAGAAGGAATCAATTTGGCTATTCTTTAACATTCTTAATTGTTCATGAATTAAACTTGGTTTAACTTAAATATATATATATATATATATATATATATATATATATATATATATATATATATATATTCCCTTTGTCATAAGCAAAATAAAAACGCTCAAGAAATTTCTGAGCTTTACTGAATATGTTTCTGCTCCCAAATAAACAGGATGAAATACTATGCTCCATATGAGAGTGAAGATGTTGTCTTCTCCCCTCCTCATAGTGTTCTGATGGAGAGAAGCAGATGCTAACCTGGATCCATGCACTGATTTACTCTATACTCCAAGGAAGGTGATAACTTGAACACAAGGACACAGAGAGCTAAGGATGTAAGCAAACACATATTCAGTCCCTGGGAAGACACTGCCAACTTTCCACACTTTGTGCAACAAAGGCAAACACAGCAACAAAAAGCAAAGCAAAACAAAACAAAACAAAAAAAACCTTTGAACAAAAGTAAATGGAAACTTTCGCAACTCTAATGGGATGGGATGGTCTCTTCCCTCATAAAGCTAATTCCCCTGTTTTCTATTACATATTAAAATGCTCATTAGAGGATATATTATTTTCCACAAGACAGTTAAAAATGCTTGAAGTCACTCACACTACAAAAGTTTTGTTTCCACAGTTCTTTCTGGAACAATTCTATTTCTAATGTACATATCCCCTGATTCTCATGAAAGGAGTACCTGATGTTTTCATAACAATAGCACTAGGTATGGTCATTATGTGATTCAAACTGTAGTAGTGGTTTTTTTTTGTTGTTGTTGTTTTTTACAAACCTGGGTTAAAGATCAAATGTCAACGGGGGGGGGGGGGGGGGCTGGGAGTGGGGGTCGGGGGTAGGGGGTAGTGTTCAGGCCAGGCAGTAATTTAAGATTCTTGGTAAGAATTCATCAAGACTCTGTGGCTTCCAATATTTTCTACTATTAAGTCTCATGCATGGAATGATTTACACAGGTAAGCAACATATATTATGACTCATTTTAATGTAGAAAGAATTACATACAATTTAAATACAAATATAAACCCTTTATGTAATATGCCTATCACCAAAATATGCCCAAATATTAAATATTTTAACTTTACTAGGAACTTTAATTTATTGGCAACTGAAATATACAATCAATTAATAAATCATCATATAAGAAAACAAACAAACAAAAAACAGCTAGGCGATGGTGACACACACCTTTAATCCCAGAACTCTGGAGGTAAAGGCAGGCAAATCTCTGAGTTTGAGCTACAGAGCAAGTTCCTGGACAGCCAGGGCTACACAGAGAAACCCTGTCATGGAAAAACCAAGAACCAAAAAACGAGGGAGAGTATGTTTAATCTTATAGTTTATTAACGCTATTTTGTTTAAATTATAAAGTTCGCATTTCCTTTAAATTGTTATTGTTTATATACATCAAGAAGAAATCTTTGCTGCCATTTGTTGCCTGGATGTGGGATGATAAAACAGAGAGATTAATAGAAGTTCAAGGCCAACCTAGGCTATAGGGTAAGACTTGTTTTCCCCCCCAAAATAATTGAACACAACAGAAAGCAAAAGCCAACTCTTTATCACCTTCTTTTTGTTTATCTCCTCACAAAGCACTTCCAATTCATCGGATTTTTGGCAAATCTCAAAAGTCTTATCTCAGTCTTCCAAGGTAATATATAATCCTATAGTTGCCAGCATCTCCCTTCCTGATGGTGAGAAACTATACAGAAAGTCTACTCGTGGGCATCTGAGAGATTCGTAGGAATACACTCAGCTAGCTGAACTCACCTTCATGTTAAAAATGAGATAAATGTAGACTAGCCAATGCTCTTCTTTTTCCTTTACAGCTTGCATCTCTCAACTGTGTTTTAAGAGCCGTCTTGTGAAGCAAGCACGGCAAATGTGACCTCTTCAGTGCATGTAAATAAGAAGAATACTAAGAATAACGTGTCGCCAAAAAAAATGATCATTAGTGTGGAGTGTTCACTTCACCGCGCAACTGGCTTTTGCACAGCACAGGACTTTGGGGGAGACACATCACGAGGTCAACATCCTCCTTTGTGTTGGTAACAGAAATACAGCCGGGTCCTGAAAGAATTGCTAGGAAGCATTTGCAAAGCCTCCTAATCAGCGAGAAGTGCTCCCAAGGAAACTTTATACTAGTAAACTCAGCAGTTTTTCCTCTTGATTTAAACAGCATCTCTGGCAAAGAACAGGGCTTCCTACTTGGTCATGGAATATTCCAGGAACTTGTAAAATAACGAGTGGGAGGATGTGGGAGTTACAGGCAAACGCAGAAGGAGCAGCTTCGTTTAGATAAGGTTTAAGGAGACTTGCTTCCCCATTCAGATTTTCCTGCTACCATTTCTCCCTCCGCCTTATAGCTTCTAGAACTCTTCCATGAGTGAATCTCTAAAGCATATACAGGAAATTAGGATGAAGAGTCTATTAAGAATTCACCCCGAATACAGGAAACTAATATAAACTGGATAATAGAATTGAAACAAAGTGAAATAAAAAAGGCAGAACAGGGAAAATACCATCCATGCAGACACAACCAGTTCAGTTGATAGATAAGCAAGACTTTGAACAGTTGACACATACATAGCAGTAAATTCTCTCTAAATAGTTCTCCATAAATTTAGCTATATAGTTTCGAGATTTGAACACAGACAGACCTGTGCTGGAAAATTAAGTCTTAAATCTATGTGACTTGTTGCAGAAAACTATTTACCCTGCTTCCTGTGATATACAACTCACGTTTTCCTTTTCTGGCTGCAGGAAAGGGAATAGCAAGAAAGGAAGAAGGATGTTAAGTGTGGGGCTAAACAGTACAAAACAATTTGTCCACAAGTAGCCATCCTACCAGGCACAGAGAGACACAGAGTAGACTGGCAGGTATGTAATCCACAAGCAGACCTTGAGCAAGAAGGATGTCAATCGTAATGCATCAGTAGGCTCCCTTGTGGCTTTGTTTATCATTTGTGCTTTCACTGAATTCAGAATTTTTGAGTGATACTATATCAAAAACTCAAAGGACAGAGAAAGAGCCAAATACTACCATTAAAGAGGCTACCATAAACAGTGTCCCAGTATCAATCATACAATAAAAGTGAAAACAAAGACCTTGTACTGTATCTACATCAAATCAGAGTGACAGGTTTTTGCCTCCCTACAAGTGTGCCCTCGTTTCTCACTACACTAAGCTCAAAACTTATATATGAATCATAGGAGCAGCCAATTCTGAGAATGAGAAGCCATGTCAAGAGTACAATACATTATCAAATTACGACCTAGATTTCCACATGTTCTGCCTGTAGGATTCTTAAATCTTCATCCTTAACCTCTTTCAAATGAACACTAGGTTCATCTTCCCAGCACCACATTTGCAATTACAATGAATTTCCATTAATTCACTCATAATTATTCCTATTAGACCTTTTCCTAACTTTGAAATTCTAGCTCATATTTCCCACTACTCTGTTCTTAACTCCATATCCCTGAAAATCATTTGATATATGACACCAATTTCACATAAACATATTGTGTTTCAATGTCTCACCCTGCTGAAATTCGTATGAAGTTTCTACACATTATAAAATATTAATAGACATTTGTCCTGTTTATTTAGCCATCAGGTTATTATTTTACTGAATGTAGAAGTTGCTGAGGACTACAACCAAGGTCTCATTTTGATAGATCATACTTGGCAATCTTAAAAATTACACTGTAATTTTTTAGAAATGATGTGGAGATGAGATGTAAGGGTAAAAGGATTTGATGAATTATGACATCTCTGTAAGCCATGACCACACTTTAAATTAGAACTAAGATATTTTAATATAAAGTGATAATCATATGAGACTATGATATAATTTTGAAAAGCTGCAGCTTACTGGAGACCATAATTTGGAGAGCCACTCATTAGCTGAAGCAGGAATTTCAATGCATTATATTCAAAATATTTGACCATTGTAAAGACCTTGGGATCCCCAGAAGCTTTAAAAGAAAATGCTCAATATTTACTACATATTCCTGAATATACATATACTGTTACTCCAGTAAAGAAAAATAATCATATAATAACACAGCAGTGTCTTCACAGAGCAAGATATTCAAGTTTTACCACTGAAGAGCTTTGAAAAAAAAAATCACATCTCTGTCCATTTAAGTGTTCTCCTGACCCAGGGATATGCTCATTTGCTTTCATATAAACAATGTGAGTAACTTTAATCCCATCAGTTGGAGACCATGTAGAGCTAAAGAGCAGTTAGGACTAAAACACATTATTTGCCTTTTCTTTCCCTTTTTATTCAGCCTAAAATTTTGACTTGGAAATGACAAAGGACGTCTGACTTGTGAATATAACCAGCAATGGGGCATGGATCCCTTCAGGGCTAGTACCCATTCCAGTACACTGCCATGCTTGGATGGTCAAGACTATTCTCCTCTGACAGAGCTCAAGGACCGCTCCCCAGCAGAGCTCGTTGAAGTGCTAGCAAATCTGGAACATCTTGTGCGAATGAAGAAAATGCTCTTCCTTTCCTGAAATGTGGGAGTCATACGGTAGCAAGTCTTTAGCAGCCCCTACTTTAGTGCTCTGCAGCAGCCTGTCAACTTCAACAAGGGGGAAGCCTCAAGTCACCTGGACTTGTTTTAAAATTGCCCAACCAGAATATTGCTTTCTGGCTGTTGGGTTTCAGGCACAGGTGAGTCTCACTAATGAGCAATTTCAGACTCATCAACGAGGAAAGTAGGCCTGTGCTCCAGAGGATGCAGTTCTGAGTACGCATGGTGCTCCTCTTCAGTCCCTTACGAGGCCCTGATGTTTTTCCCTCCTTCCTCTTCTAATTGCCTTTGCTTACCACACATCGCTTGCTTTCCTTGGCTATAACCCAGTCATTCGCTTTGAATTCTACCTCATGTTTGCTTGGTGTCGTTTTTCAAATAGAGATCTTCACCACCCTGGCGTTTCTTTATTTATTTTTTCTCTAATTTGCATGGTGGAGAGTTTGGTTAGAGTGGGGTTCAACATCAGACCACTGTAGAAAAAGCAGAATGTCTGCCTTGGAGACACAGCTTCCCAGAGGACTCTTGTGAAATCTGTCACAGGACAGGAAATGTTAGGAAATGTGTGGATGCTCTTCCAGCATTAATTCTATCACACACACACACACACACACACACACACACACACACACACACACACACACACACACACACACAGAGCCATAAGGCTTCTTGGGCTGTGATGCATCTCTGGAAATACTGATTAGTCTTGTGTCCGACAATGTTTGCGGGGCTATTAGAACAATGGTTCTTGAATGTTCTTGCATCTCAGCCCTGTTCAAACCCTAGGGACCACGCAAAAGCTCAGAGAACTGGAATCTACCCTCTTCAGAGTGGCATGTGAGGTTATGCTGGTTCCAAACTAGTTCCTAATACTGTAGCTGCTGCTGAGTCACGAAACTGTGTGGTAATGTTGAGAAGAACAAGAACACAGACTTATTTCTGATGATAATTCAGTTATATTTATATTATACTCACGAAAAACAGCATGAACCTAGCAAGAACAATGAAGTTGTGCTTGTCATGTTTTGCTGAAACAGTAGCACATAACTTTTTGAGGACTAGTAGCAATAGGAAGCAGTATAGTCAGACCATGTGATTACAAATCTGTCCTATCCATCACGATTCCTTTTAAAACTTCTCTTAGAGTCTAAGGCTTAAACACATAATTACTCTGTTTACCCTGAGTCTTTTATGCTGATAGGACCTGTGGTATCCAGGATTTTTTTTTCAGTAAAATGGATTTAATATCTGAGATATTTCCTTAAAATGTAATGAAGGAGAATTCATGGGTATACATAAAAATTGTAGGGCAAGATAAACCAGTGATGTCTAGTGATCTGAGTGCCAGTAACTAATGGGGCATTTCCACAGCATGGTCCAAGATCAATTCCCGATTTGCTGTTCTACTTACAGATCACATTCCTGGAAAAGTAATGTGTGATTAAGAGAGTCCCAGATCCCAGTTAATGCTCACTTCTTTGAGTATTTACAATGAATTCCCTGTTGATATAACCATTCAGTCAGCAAATCTCTAAGAGTCCACTATTTGGTAGGAACTAAAAAAGTATGAATGAGCCTCTTCTTAAAACTGTGGAATATAAAAATTACATGATAAAGTAAAGTTAGGTATAAAATTTACCACCATGTTTAGTAGACAAAATAATACTGACTACATAAATAAATATAGGATTAGGGCTGGTAGTGATAAAGAATGTTTCTTTGGAAATATATCCATCATATATTTCTTAGTTATTAACCCAAGCAGTTTTTCCAATAAACTCATATGCATTCAAGAGAACTGAACCCATTAGATTTTGTGGTAATATGCAAAGGAAAAATACCATGTAGATGTTTGTTTATAGATAATTCTGAAATAATAAAAGATATGTTTTTTTAGTTCATAAATTCTACTCAATAACAAAGAGAGATAGCAAAGGACTAAATGAAGAGAAATTAGCACTATACATTAAAGAGATTATGAGAATAATTATATAATGTTAAAGTTTTATATTCCTTTCATTAAGCACATTTAGCATGGTATGTTTTTGTATGAATATTTTGAATGAAAACATTTTTCACTTCATGAATCTAATTGTTTTCTATTATCACTAGTTAGATGAGAAAATTTGGTTTTATTTCACCTACAGTTTTTTAATTTTGATTTTATGTGTGTGTGTGTGTGTGTGTGTGTGTGTGTGTGTGTGTGTCTTGTGGGTAGGTATATTCATGTGACTATAGTTGCTCTTGAGGCCACAAGAGGGCATTTAATCCCCTAGCACTGGCATTTCAGGTGGATGGTGTGGGTACTGGGAACTAAATATGGGTCTTCTGAAGGAGCAATATGCACTCTTTTATTTTATTGCCTGTATATATTTTCTTCCTGGTTTAATTTTTAATTTTTATTTTTTATTAAGGAATTTTTTATTCATTTTACATACCAACCACAGATCCCCCTCTCTTCCCCACTCCAGCCCCTCCAGCCTCCAACAAGGTAAGGCCTCCCATGAAGAGTCAGCAGAGACTGGTACATTCAGTAGAGGCAGATCCAAGCCCCTCCCACTGCATCAAAGCTGTGTGACGTGTCCCACCATAGGTAATGGGCTCTAAAAAGCCAGCTCATACACCAGGGATGGATCCTGATTCTACTGCCAGTACACTCTTAACTGCAAGGAAATTTCTCTAAGCTTCTGGAAATATGAATTCAAACTTTTTTTTTATTTTATTTTTTCTCACACTTTCCATGATTTTAAAATACCTAACCATTTGTTAACCAAGGAAAACAATGTAAAAACAAAACATATTTGACAGAAAGAAAAGACTTAGGTAGAAACTTAGAAAGTGGGCTTTACTTTTAATTTCGCAAATTTATATTTACAGTGGCTAGAAAGAAATATTTGTTGAAATGTAGAAAAGAAAAATAACAAAATATTGAATGAAGAGATTTCATCAGAAACATACTTGCTGGCATTTTAACTACAATGGCTTAGTTCTACTTTAGTTAGGTTTCAGAATACATTTGCTTCGGAAAGGACAATCCATTCAGTCTTTGCTTGCCTGTAGGAATATTCTAAGCGAAAGGCCAGGTATGCCTTTAATCCCAGCACTTGGGAGGCAGAGGCAAGAGGATCTCTAAATTCCAGGCCAGCCTGATCCACAGAGTGAGTTTCATTGTTCTACTAATGAGATCGATCATGACATGGCAATCCAAACACCCCAATTTTTTACTGAATAGTATGTTAAGATTAATTGTGTAAGAACATAATGGGTCTTATTAAAAATAATTTGTAAAAATGTCTTACAAAGTTCAGAAAATCAGCCAACAGAGTTTGAAATGAAATTGGAAAGGAAGTCAAAATCTCACTCATTTCTGAGCTAAATGGAATAGTCACACGTTTGACAATCTGGTTTTAATATGTCCATGATTTGGTCTTTTTACAAGGGCAAAAGTGACAAGCCAATGAAAACATTTAGCCACTCAACTTTTGATGCATCAGAGCAACAAGAAACCCAAAGACAGACCTGATACATGGTACAAGAAGTCTGCCAAAGATGAGAGCCAAGCTGATCTGTAATCAACCATGGAAAAGCTACATCCCACTGACTCTGCCATCAAATGGAAATAAGTTATTTCACCCAATTCAAGTGACAATGTTCAACTACAACACACAAATACGTAACAACAGATTTTGTTTGTTTTATAACTAAGTCAACAAAAAGCCTGGTTTCTCACACCTATAAACCCAGGCTCCAGAGGACTAGGCAGCAGGATCGTGTGTTCAAAGCTAGTGTGGACTACACAGTGAGATTTTTGTCTCAATAAAATGAAATAGGAGTTTTTAAAAAGGGTGACATAGTCTTTGGGTTCACTGGCTAAAATCTAAAGAGCATATTTAGGAAGAAAGCTAAATGATGGTATTTTGTGATGGACATGTCACTAAAAATCAGATCCATATAATTTATGTCCCTTTCTGCATTACCTTCAGATTTCAAGGAACGATGTGTAAAAGTGCTACCACATCCTACTTTATGACCTTATTGCATAATTTTCTTTGTAATACTTAACTTTAAAGTTTATTTTAATGAGGGGAGAGGTGGTAGTCAGAATATAATAAGATAGTACATAAATCATACAATTAAAGAACGGCTCATTTAAAGTTATACAAAGTCATCACCATCATCATCATCATCATCATCATAATCAAGAAATAATAAGCATTAGCATTTCTTACCAATCACAGCTACTGAAATTAGGTGCAGTCACTTCTGACTTAAAATTTAGAATTAAACATTTCTAAATAATGGACCAATTTCATTCAAATCCTTAAAATCAAATTCCCAGTTGTTGGTTTAAAGTTCATAAATTCCTGCTAGCTTGGTTTGATTGTCTCTGTAGGATTCCCCATCATAATCTGGATGTCCCTTACTCATAGAATTCCTCTTCCCTCTCTTCGACTGGACTCCTGGAGCTTGGCCTGGTGCTTGGTTGTGGATCTCTGCATCTGCTTCCATCAGTTACTGGATGAAGGCTCTATGATGACAGTTAGGGTATTCACCAATCTGATTACCAGGGTAAGCCAGCAAGGCACCCTCTTCACTATTGCTAGTAGTCTAACCTAGGGTCATTCTTGGGGATTTCTGGGAACTTCCCTAGCACCAGGTTTCTCCATAACCCCATGATGTCTCAATGGGACTGGACTAGGCACTGTGCATAATCGAGACAGTTGTGCATCTTGATCTGCTTAAGGGGCCCCCTGGCAGTAGGATCAGGAACCATCCCTGGTACATGAGCTGGCTCTTTGGAGTCCATTACCTATGGTGGGACACCTTGCTCAGCCTTGATGCAGGGGGAGGGGCTTGGACAAGCCTCAACTGAATATACCAGGCTCTGCTGACTCCCCATGGGAGGCCTTACTTTTCTGGAGGAGGGAATGGGGGATGGGTTGGGAGGGAAGCTGAGGGGAGGGAGGGAGGAAGAGAGGGGGATCCGTGATTGGTATGTAAAATGAATAAAAAATTTCTTAATAAAAGAAAATTCCCTTCTATGTTTCCCTTATATGCCATGAGCAGAGAAACAATCTCACATAAAAGAGTAAAAACTAAAAAAAAAAAAAAACCACTTTATGTGATAGACAGGTATAATCCCTCCAATGAATCATATTTGTACTCTTGTTTGTACTCTTGCAGAAGCCCCTCTCACATCAATGATCCTACTGTGTGGATCAGTTTAGCACAACAAAACACCTGACAAAGGGTGTTTATGATTCAAAAAGAAGTAAATTACTGCTGACAGCACTAGAGGTTCAAGTTCAAGGCAGCTCCATTGAGCTGAGCCTTCCATGTAGGTAGCACATCATACAGAGTGCATAGAAGAACGAGGGGTCCCATTTCAAGCTAAA